TGTATAATGATAATAGTCGTGATTCAAGTAGTGATTTGTTTATGTGTACGAATCATGTTGATAATGATGATACTGTAATGAGCATTGATACGTATAATAAGGATTTCAATCATATTGAAATTACAAATAATGATATGATATCTCTTAGAACATATAGTGGTGAGAAGTTAAATATTATTGGTAAAATCAAATGTGATGTCATCGATCGTGAGGGTATAACACACAAGTTAAGTGCTAGTGTTGCTGATTATAGGTATAAGCCCACATTGCTTGGTCTTGATTGGATGGCAGTGGTTAGACTGGAAAAACATAGTAAAAAACCTTCACTCCAGATATGTTAACAGTTGTGCACATCAGAATGATGTAAGTGAATCTCAATGTTCTAAAACAGTCGGAAACAGTAATTTCGAGTTAAATGTGTTGCTTAAAAGTATGAAAACTTGTTCGAAGATTCATATGATGGCATGAGACATGAGCTAGCTCACATAAATATTAGAGAAAATGTTACTCCTGTGTATGTTAAAGCCAGGTTGGTTCCATATGCTAACAAATGCAAAGTTGAAAATGAACTTAAAAAGGTAGAAGACAATAATGTAATACATAAAGTCAAATACAGTGATTGGGCAACTCCAATTGTGGTAGTCCCAAAGTCTGATGGCACAGTTAGAATCTGTGGTGATTATAGTGTAACAATCAATAAGTTCATTGATGATGAAGTGTATAATCTTCCAAGCTCAGCTCAGCAAATCATGTCTAACCTGTATGCTGAATTAGCTGGAAAACGTGTTTTTACTAAGCTAGATTTGTCCCATGCATATGCTCAACTAAATTTAGATGAACAGAGCAAAAGCTATGTTACGATAAACACGCATAAAGGTCTTTACTCATACAACAAATTACCATATGGTGTAAAACCAGCTTCAAAGATCTTTCAAGGCAAAATTGATAAGATATTGAACGGTATCGAAAATTGCTTGTGTAATCAGGATGATGTCCTCATCAGCACCGA